CTTCTAAACAAGGAGAGCCTAGCTCCTTCTAATTACTTGCTAAATTACAGTGTTACCCTCGGGGTTTATTGTGTTTCGTGTCTTAAATGGCGCTTGCTTTTTAAAATGACGGATTTGTCCCCGACCAAGCGGGTGATGTCTCTCTCTCTCTCTTTTAATATATATAGGTTTTAACCACAGAGTTAAGGTAATTGTGCGTAATTATTACACAAAAAAAATATATTCCGATTCCGCGAAGAAGGACCCAGGAAGTTGAAGAAGTTTTCTTTTGAAGCTTCTCGTGTTTTTTTCTTTTTCTTCTTTTTGCCCTTAGAATATCTGCTAGTAGCCTCGTACTGTATTTTTTTAAAAAGGCCTCGAGCAAAAAAGGCCTTGCTTTCCTGGGCCAGCCCAGGCAATTGCAGGTACGGCAGAAGAGCAATCAAGTCCATTATAAGTTATAAAAGCCCATGATCCATAAAAGGTTTTTTTAATGTTTATGGTGGTTTTTTAAAATATTTTTATTTAAAATTATATTAAAAAAATTATTTTATTTTAAAAAAATTATTTTTGATTCAGCGCATTAAAATAATTTAAATATATCAAAAAATATTAATTTAAAAAACATAAAAAATTTAAAAAAAGACTTATTAATCATAAAAATAAACAATGATATTTTTTATACCTAACTTGTGTGTATCAACAACTTTTCTCTGTATTTCATTGTCACATTCTATTAACTTGACAAGACTTCATTGTATATAAATTATTTTTTTAATTAAACCCTCGGGGATTTAATTAGTTGCATGTACCACACGACACTACTAGCTCTATTTATTTATTTATTTTTACATTGAAAATAATATTCAAGGTAGTGTGAACATGTTTTTTTTTTTTAAAAATATACATAACTCGGGTTATAAATTAGAATGGGTTAAATAAATTGATTTTATTTCAATCAGGTGATAAAAAAATAAATAATGACAATAAATAGACCTTGAAAATAAATTGATAATGATAACTTGGAACATGATACTTTTTGTAGGATATGGTGGATAATGTAGTTTAATTTTTAGTTTATTAAATCGCAAAGCTAAAAAAAAAACAAAAAGAAAATGTTAATATGCTTTAACTTTTCAAATATATAATCCGGGATATTATATTAAAGGTATATTTTCTATAAAAAATACAAAATTTAATTCTGAACCAATTAATTTTCAAATGATTGATCTAAAAAAATATCAACTACACAAAATAATTTAAAAAATAATAATTAAAAGAATAAATATCATAAATTAAATACAAAATAAATTTTATTTTTTCATTGAAGGATAAGATTAAAAAAATCAATTAAATGTTATAACAATAAAACAATTAAAACAGCAATGTTCAAAATTGAAAAAAATAAAAGAATTTTCTTATTAAAAACTGACATTTAAAAGAAAAATCAATGTAACAAAACTTTAAAAGAATAATTAAAATAATGATGATTAAATTGATAAAAATAATACATGATAAATTAAAATTGAACAATAAAATTAAAAATTAAAAAAATTAAAAACAAAAATTAGAAATTAGAAATTGAAAAAATAAAAACTAGAGTTGAAACACTGTTGATAAAAGGGGTAAAATTGTAATTTCCAAGAAAGAAAAAAGAAATAAAAAAACACTTATCGGCTACAGACCAAACTATCATCTTCAGCATGAGCCGCATCACCGTGAGGAAAACATTACGACACTTCTAAAAACATATAGGAAGAATATTTTTCACGTGGGGGGATGCCTTTTATGTGCTAGAGAATGCGACACATATTCCCCAACCTTTTTATATGAATGATTAAATAACAAATTGTCTTTATGTTTGATATGATAATAATAAAAAAACCACTGTGAGAAAATGAAAAAGCATATTGACACCAGTTTTAAAAATTTTATTTTTAAAATTATTCTAGTTGTTTCACTTTTTTTTTATTATTATTTTAATATCCAATTACATATCAAATTACCCCTCAATAATAACGAAAAATTATAGTGAATGTAACCCTTCGAAGCCAATTAACTAAACAACCCTGTGAAAATACTCAAATGCTCTTCGTAGTCAATGCTGAGTTTTTCTTGAACGGAAAGACAAAACTGTAAAATCACCATTACAGGGAAGAATAACTCAACTGAAGAGGTTACGGTGAAAATCCTTACATTTTAGCTCCAGTTAATGTATTTGCTGCAAGATTATTAATGCCACCATCCATCGCAATACACGTTGCGTTTGCAGGTACACCTGCATCAGACATGGGACTCCAAACACATTTAACACCATGCAAGTGTTTGCCTTTTGATCCGCGTTGATAATTTTCTAGGTTTTTTTTTTTTTTTTCATGGCTTCAATGCTTAATGTTAAAATTAAATTAAAAAACTTAAAATATATCTTTTAAAAAAACCCTCCACTATGTATCCAAACAAGTACTTAACATTGCAAATTTATTACACGGAACTTAACAGCAAATGGAGTGATGTACTAAACCAGTGATCATGCCTGGAACTACACCAATACGCAGGCATAACAAATAAACGATACTGGCTGCTTGGATTCTAAACGTAAACCATTGTGTTTAGGACAGCGGTTAGAACCTGGTTTTCTTTAAAAAATGTTTTTTTAATTATTTTAATATTTTGGTATCAAAAATATTTTTTTTAAAAATAAAAAAAAATTATTTTAATTGTATTTTTAAATAAAAAACACTTTAAATTACAACTATTATTACACCTTATATTCGAAACTCTTAAAAAATCATCTCAACTCAAAAGTTTAAGTTATTAAATGAGGTTTCAGGATATAATTTATATTATTATCTAACATATTCCTTCAAGTAAAAGTCTTTTAGTTTTAAAACTTGCATAGATTTATATTACATTGTACTTAATTTTTATCAAATAAATAGAAATGATAAGATTCAAATTTAAAACCACTTGGTTATTAAAATTCTAATATCATGTCAAATAACCATTTCAACCCAAAAATTTATGTTATAAGATGAAATTTTAAAATATAATTTTTATTAATTTCAAATAAAAACAATCGACTCTCCACCTAACATACGTAGTATAGTTGATTTAGGTTCATTTATTTATATAGATTATATTTAATTTTTTTTATGTTACCAATTAAGCTATTAATTTATATATATGATTTAACTGGGCTGTTATTAAACTCTATCCCCTCCTGTGGGTCGATTTGAGATACCGGATTGAATTAAAATTATAAATATTATAGTAAAAATTAACCTAGTCTAACTAAAATAACAAGATGAATTAGTGAGGACCGGTTAAATACTAATTTAATTTATATATATATAATATTTATCTATTTATTTTTAAATATTAAAATAATAATATTTTAATTGACTGAGATTAATCCATTTATATTAGCCCGCTCGCTGCTCCGCGGGCTAGGTTTAAGAGCTCCGGTTCAAACATCAACAAAGGAAAGAAAAACAAGGAAAAAAAAAAAGGGCATCATGCTAGTGGACTTGTCCAAAACGGCGAGTCTTGAAACTCTAGCAAAATGCACTATCCAGCCTCCTTAAAACCCCAAAACCCAATCTGGATTTCTAACTTAAAACGTCAACTTGAAGCGTAGAAAGAAAGAAAGAATCAATGGGGGAGAAGAAGGGTCTTCTACCCAAACAAGAAGAAGAGCCATGGCGAGTCCTGGAATTCTACAGTGGTATTGGTGGCATGGTAATTAACCCAACGCCGTCAACACCCGCCCTCATATCTACTTACACATGCTTGCATCACTAAGTAATGGTTTTTTTTTTTTGTGTTTTGTTAGAGATATTCACTTATGAAGGCTGGTGTCAATGCAAAAGTAGTGGAAGCTTTTGACATAAATGACAAAGCTAATGATGTTTATGAACACAATTTTGGCCACCGTCCTTATCAGGTTTGAGCTTCGAGTTCTTTATTCTGTAGTGTTGCTGTTGAATTCTGAATGCGTTGGCATCTTAGTTTTTGTAGTGATTTGTTGATCGAGAAGCTCTAAAAATGGATTTTATCATTTGCCCATTCTGCTAATAATTGATATGCGGGCGTTAAGCTCCTGAAACAAGACTCTTGATCTTGTTATTCTGAGTTGCCGTGATGCTTTATCACATGAGAAGCTCTAAAAAGGGTTTCTGTCCATTTCCTATTGTTTCAATATGGGCCTTGAGTTCCCCAAAGTTGGAGTCTTGGAGATTGGTTTACTGTTTGTGTATGTGTGTGGTTGTTTGGCAATTGGCATTTAAGCTGCAGTGAGTTTTAACGATATAGTCTTTGTGTTTTGAGCCTAGAATTTTGTAAAGTTCTCCTTTGCATTCTGTCTTCTTATATATTTTGGGAACTATAGGGTAATATTGAGACTCTGACGGCTGCTGATCTTGACAACTATGGGGCACACACGTGGCTGCTCTCACCACCTTGTCAACCCTACACTCGACAAGGTCAGAACTACCACTTGTTTGTGTGCTCGCACGCATGTGTTTTCTCTCCGTGGATTGTTTTGTGGATTGGAGGAAATGAATTAGGTTAACATATTGATTAGGTCTTCAAAAGCAATCCGGTGATGCTCGAGCATTTTCTTTTCTCAAGATTCTTGAACTTATTCCTCACACTAAGCAACCTCCAAATATGTTGTTTGTGGAAAATGTTGTTGGATTTGAGGTTTGTTCCTGACTAGTTTGATTTAGCTGGTGATTCACATTGTAAAACTTTTACTTATTCTTTGTGTCATTTGCCTTTTCATGGCAGACTTCAGATACACATGCAAAAATGATAGAGATATTAGCAAGTTCTGAATATACTACACAAGAGTTTATATTGAGCCCACTGCAGTTTGGTGTGCCTTATTCCAGGCCACGTTATTTTTGCTTGGTAAGCTCCTCCCTATTGCTACTCATGGACACATACAAACTATTATTTTACTTGGATTTTTATAGATTTCTGCTTCAGTTGGGTCTGAGATTGAATCTAGGACAGCCTTTTTGAGATCTTGAAAACCAAAATTTGCATAAGATAGATCATAAATGGTAAAATCATACCCATGGAAGCATACAAGCTGCTATTTTACTTGGATCTTTATAGATTCCTGCTTCAATATATCATTTTTCTGTTGTCCCATGATACATGTTAAAGAATGTAATAAACGACTGCTATTCTTGAACTAGAAGTTGAGATTGAATCTAGGAGGACAACTTGCTTGAGATCTTGAAAATCAATATTCGTGTGCTAGGTTTTCATGTAAAATTTTATATCTGTTTTACCATCTAGCATCCTTATAATGTGTAAGATCATAAATAGAAAAAAAACATGTTGAATCTTGAAACGTCTATGCTAGGTTTTCATGTAAAATTTTGTATCTGTTTTACCATCTAGCATCCTTATAATATGTTTGGTAATGCAAAGTATGATAGTTATTTTCATCATGCATCTGATTCGTTATCAGATTTAATGTTTTACTAAAACAAATTTTTTGGCATTAACATCCTGTTACTAAAACAAGTAAATAAATAGTCCTATATGAGCTTTGTGGCTTTTTATAGCAAAATCGACTGGAGTGGTGAGAAATAAATATGGTTGAAATATGTCATATTTGAATGCCTCCTGTAGTATTTTTACAAATTAAGTTCTTAGATGAAGTCCATTTGTACTAATAATATCCATAACTGCCACTTGTATTCATTAACTGCACAGGCAAAAAGAAAGCCTTTATCATTTCAACACGAAGTCTGCAATAACAAATTGCTTTGGTCTCCCAGCCCATTGTTCGAGCATAATGAAAATAATGTAATGGATGGATGGGACCAACCACCCGCGAACTGGGATACTTTGATCCATTCTTGTGAGCCAGTTGAGAGGTTTCTTGAGTTCAAGAGCTCCAGCAACCAAGTAACAGGAGCAACTGGAACTGATGTTTCAGCGGATTGTTCTGGAGCTTTGGAGAACATTGATGAAAGAAATCTTAATACAATGTCCCAGTATATTGTTCCATTAAGCTTGATTGAGAGGTGGGAAAGTGCAATGGGTATCCTTGTTATTTTTGCTTCTTTGTATTTTCTGCACTTCAAATTTACCCCATCTATCCTCTTCGTTATCTGAAAGTATTCCTAAAAGAG